AAATGAAAGGTACGCCAGTATCAATCTATTAAAGGATTCTTCTAAATTCAGCTTCTCGTCATATAGCGAAAAAAAGAAGTTTTTGAACAATAATCTCAAAATATATTAGAGCAAAGCGAAATTCTATTAAATCCAATAAACTCTAGGGTAAGGATGAAAGTTTCCAAAAAAACAGCTTCATTATGCAAAAAATAAAGCTGGAAAGATAATAATAAATAAAGTAATGCAATGTAGGTTTTGGCTCAGCCGTGAAAGACCTTGTTAGCTAGTTGAATAAGTTCTACATTTAATTATAGACCTAACCTGAAAATGGACTCATGGAACTATTAACAATCATTCAACTAAAAGCCGATCTAGTTGCTCAAAAATAAATGTCGAGCACTCAAATGTTGTTTAACAACAGAGGGTCTAAAGAAAGCCTGTAAGTAAAAAGACTAGGATTATTTAATCGTCTATTGAATAAGGCTTAAGAGAAATTTGACGCTAAAGTAAATATAAAATTAACTAATAATATTCGAAGTGCAAATAAAAGGTTAGGCAGTTTTGTCGGTAAGATGACAAATGAGTGGTATGAATGTGCAAAATCTCATAAAAAATTCATTTCTGAGCAATAGTGCCAACAAATTTGAAGAGCCAGACAATGAAGGAATAGTGAACTTATTGTAAACGAAAAGATGCTGGGGGAAACAAGACAACGCTGGACAGTAACTTTATATAAAAAGTCAATCCGAAGTTGACCCTTTTCATGTGTTTAGGTACTACATACTTAATCTGTAATAAAATATATGAAGGTGAAGTAACTAAAGTTAAGGTTGAGTAAACAGAATCCGTTCATTTGCCATAGTATTATTATAGAACTTTAACGAGGAGACTCCAAAAAATCTAGAGACAAGTATTTCGCCCTGTATACTTTGATCTAAGCAACTAAGGTAAGCAAATTCTGAAATACAAAATAAAATGCATGCCTGCTAATTAATAGAACGCAAAAGTTAAATGAAGTGATAATTGAACTGGTTCGCAATTTGTGCTTAATTTGGATAAGCTTTTAGGCCAAAAGAAGTAGTCACCTGTTGAGCCAATAAGGAAGTGACTGTAGCCAGAAGACAGGCGCGGTACATATCAAGATTAAATGAAGGGGAGGTTGCTGGAGTCTCCAGAAGAAGAGGAACGGCATTTGCACTTTCACCTTTAAAAAAGGAGGGAAGAAAAAGGAATTAGATAAGCTGCATTTCAAAAAATGTTGCTATTATTTAAGGTCATCACTACTAGTAAATCAGTTATATGAAATGTATTCACCCTATTGCGTTTAGGGTGATGAAGGACTGGTAGTAGAATTTTCCCATAACCATATGAGTAGAGTTGACTTTTCCATTGAATTTCACATAGCTTTCCCAAAAGGTGTTCTCATCCAAGATGGATTGCAGTTTCGACCTCGCCTAGGTCTTATCAACATCACCAGCGGGACTCGAACCATGACAGTGCAGCGTGCAATCCAGACATGCTAACCACTACGCCACATTTCCACAAGTGCCTTTTGATCACAGGGCAGATGTGAAGGCCAGGTATTTTCCTATATATCACAGGTATTT